AAGAACACTAGAACTCATCCTTCTATCTTAGATGTAATTAGTTGTCATTTTATATCTTAACAATCTCTCCCTATTCCCCCTCCCTCTACTCTTCTGTCTTTATTGTCCTTTGTTCTACTTTTTACTCCTATGAGAGCAACTTTTCTTTTTTTTTTTTGAGACAGAGTTTTGCTCTTATTGCCCAGGCTGGAGTGCAGTGGCGCCATCTTGGCTCACCACAACCTCCGCCTCCCGGGTTCAAGTGATTCTCCTGCTTCAGACTCCTGAGTAGCTGGGACTATAGGTTCGCAACACCACCGGCTAGTTTTGTATTTTTAGCAGAGATGGGGTTTCACCACTTTGGTCAGGCTGGTCTTGATCTCCTGACCTCAGGTGATCCGCCAGCCTCGGCCTCCCAAAGTGCTGGGATTGCAGGCGTGAGCCACCGCGCCCAGCGGAGAGCAACTTTATTTATTTATTTATTTATTTTTCTTTTTTTTTTTTTTTTTTTGAGACGGAGTTTTGCTCTTGTTACCCAGGATGGAGTGCAATGGCGCGATCTTGGCTCACCGCAACCTCCGCCTCCCGGGTTCAGGCAATTCTCCTGCCTCAGCCTCCTGTGTAGCTGGGATTACAGGCATGTGCCACCATGCCCAGCTAATTTTTTTTGTATGTTTAGTAGAGACGGGGTTTCACCATGTTGACCAGGACGGTCTCGATCTCTTGACCTCGTGATCCACCCGCCTCGGCCTCCCAAAGTGCTGGGATTACAGGCTTGAGCCACCGTGCCCGGCCTATTTTTATTTTTATTTATTTATTTTTTTAAAGACGGGGTTTCACCATGTCGGTCAGGCTGATCTTGAACTCCCGACCTCAGGTGATCCGCCCGCCTCGGCCTCCAAAGTGCTTGGATTACAGGCGTGAGCCACCATGCCCGGCCAACTTTTTTTTTGGCTTCCACATATGAGTGGGAACATTGCCCAGGCTGGTCTCAAACTCCTGCCTTCAAGCAGTCCTCTAAACTCAGCTTCCCAAAGTGCTGGGCTTACTGCATGAACCACTGTGCCCAGCCCCATGCACCTTTGATTGGAGAGAAGATAGAGCCCTCCAAGGCCGCCTGCTGCTCTCCCTGCTTATTTTACTTACAGTTTCCTCCAGTTCCATCCATGTTGCCATGAATGACAGGATTCCATTCCTTTTCATGGCTGAATAATATTCTATTGTATACATATACCACATTTTCTTTATTCATTCATCTGTTACTGTTTTAAGATCTGGGTGATTTGGGAAGTGGGAAGGTCAGGAGAAGCAGTGCAGGGTTGGGGACATTTAGTGTCCCAACCCTAGTGCTGGCAGCTACAGACCTCTAATTTCTTTCTTTCTTTCTTCTTTTTTTTTTTTTTTTTGAGGCGGAGTTTCACTCTTGTTGCCTAGGCTGGCGTGCAGTGACATGATCTTGGCTTGCTGCAACCTCTGCCTCACAGATTCAAGCAATTCTCCTGCCTCAGTCTCCCAAGTAGCTGGGACTACAGGCGCATGCCACCATGCCCAGCTAATTTTTGTATTTTTAGGAGACGGGGATTCACCATGTTGGCCAGGATGGTCTCAATCTCTTGACCTCATGATCCACCTGCCTCAGCCTCCCAAAGTGCTGGGCTTACAGGTGTAAACCATCGGGTCTATCCTGTTTTCTTTATTATCAACCTTGATTTGAAGTCATTTACAAGCAAAACATGTGTATAAGAAAGCAAAGCAGGGCCGGACGTGGTGGCTCAAGCCTGTAATCGCAGCACTTTGGGAGGCCGAGGCGGGTGGATCACAAGGTCAAGAGATCGAGACCATCCTGGTCAACATAGTGAAAACCCGTCTCTACTAAAAATACAAAAAATTAGCTGGGCATGGTGGCACCTGCCTGTAATCCCAGCTACTCAGGAGGCTGAGGCAGGAGAATTGCCTGAACCCAGGAGGCAGAGGTTGCGGTGAGCTGAGATTGCGCCATTGCACTCCAGCCTGGGTAACAAGAGTGAAACTCGGTCTCAAAAAAAAAAAAAAAAAAAAAAAAAAAAATAGAAAGCAAAGCAGAGAAGCGGAGCATACACAATGAGCCACATACGGGGCCTACAGCTGTGCAGTTGTGATTCCGGTGGAACTCTGAGCTCCAGGCAGCCCAGGGAGCCTCACAGGTGCAGTGCTTTCACTCTTCCATGTCTGTCTTCCTTGCTCTGTGACAGCACAGACTAGCTGCTTTGATGACAGCTACCTTCCCAGAGCCTGGTCTGTGGTGCTCAGCACCTCAGCGGCCTGAAGGTGGGAAAGCAGACTGGTTCCTGGGGAAGGTAACATTTCCTAGCACTAAGTTCTAAGAGAAATTTTTCACGGCTGGATGTGGTGGCTTATGCCTGTAATCCCAACACTTTGGGAGGCCGAGGTGGGTGGATCGCTTGAGGTTAGGAGTTCAAGACCAGCCTGGCCAATATGGTAAAACCTCATCTCTACTAAAAATACAAAAATTATCTGGGTGGGGTGATACATGCCTATAATCCCAGATACTGGGGAGGCTGAGGCACAAGAATCGCTTGAACCTGGGAGACGGATGTTGCAGTTGCACCACTGCACTCTACCCTGGGTGACAGAGCGAGACTGTCTTAAAAAAAAGAAACAAAGTGTTCACATGAAGCTATAAAATTGGGATTTAGGGTGATAATAGCTCATTTCTCAGTAACCTATTTACAACAAATGCAATTACAGTGCTCATGACACGCTTTCTCTGGTGTTTCTTGATTAAGGTAAAAAATATAGCATGGTATTACTGTATACATAGTATATAGAGCAAGACAAAGCAAACAGGACCAGATGGTTGGGGAGCATCAGACTAGGATGATTTAAATCTCATTTACAAGTTTACAAATAGATGGGAGGGGGGCAGTTACAGAACAAGCTAATCACCAAAGCAAATTGTTTGCATTTAGCTCATTTTTAATATTACTCTATGTGACTGTTTTTTAGAGATGGGGTCTCACTCTGTCACCCAGGCTGGAGTGCAGTGATGTGATCATAGCTCACTACAGCCTCCAACTCCCGAGCCCAAGTGATCCTTCTGCTTCCCTGCCACCATGCCAAGCAGATTATTATTATTATTTTATACAGATTGGTGGGGGTGGGGGGTGGTTCCACAATATTTCTCAGGCTGGTCTTAATCTCCTGACCACAAGCAGTCTTCACCCCTCAGTCTCCAAAGCGCTGGGATTACAGATGTGGGCCACTGCATCCGGCCTTACCTGTTATTTTTATCGCTTTAGCTTTTCCTGCAGAGTGGTACAGAATAGAAACCACACAGAAAAGGCCCCAAATCTTCCTGCCTATAAACCTCATTGACTCTTTTTTTTTTTCTTTTTTTTTGTGAGACGGAGTTTCGCTCTTGTTACCCAGGCTGGAGTGCAACGGTGCGATCTCAGCTCACTGCAACCTCCGCCTCTGGGTTCAAGCAATTCTCCTGCCTCAGCCTCCCGAGTAGCTGGGACTACAGGCGTGCGCCACCATGCCCAGCTAATTTTTGTATTTTTAGTAGAGACGGGGTTTCACCATGTTGACCAGGATGGTCTCGATCTCTTGACCTCGTGATCCACCCACCTCGGTCTCCCAAAGTGCTGGGATTACAGGCGTGAGCCACCGCGCCCGGCCGACTCTTCAAAAATTTCAAGTAATTAATCTAGAAAGTAAGACTTCCTGAGATGTTTAATCCGCGTTAAAAAAAAAAAGTTAAAATATTCAAACTATAGAAAGAAACTAAAAAGTAAAACCCTCCTTCCCAGGGTCACCATGTTGCACAACTCCAGGGGGCATCATTTGCATTGAAGTTGTGCGACAAGGCACCCTTGTCCCTTCTTTCTTCGATTCCTTTTCTCCAACATCGTCTCTGTTAACAGTTTAAAGCTATTTTCTAATTTTTTTTTTTTTTTTTTTTTTTGAGACAGAATCTGGCTCTGTCACCCAAGGCTGGAATGCAGAGGTACAATCTTGGCTAACTGCAGCCTCTGCCTTCTGGGTTCAAGCAATTTTTGTGCCTCAACCTCCCAAGCAGCTGGGATCACAGGCATGCGCCAACATGCCTAGCTAATTTTTGTATTTTTTGTAGACTGATTTTCGCCATGTTGGCCAGGTTGGTCTTGAACTCCTGGCCTCAAGCTGTCCACTCGCCTTAGCCTCCCAAAGTGTCAGGATTACAGGCATGAACCACTGCACCCGGCCTCCTAAATTTTGTTTTTTAAATAGCTGGGCACAATGGGCCTTATCTATAGTGCCAGTGACTTAGGAGGCCAAAGTGGGAGGATTGGCTGAGTACAGTAGTTTGAGGCTGCAGTGAGCTATGATCATGCCACTGCACTCTACTCTGGATGACTGAGCGAGACACCTAATATCGATAATAACTTAAAAATCCTAGGGCCGGGCGTGGTGGCTCACGCCTGTAATCCAAGCACTTTGGAGGCCAAAGTTGGTGGATCACCTGAGGTTGGGAGTTCAAGACTAGCCTGACCAACACGGTGAAACCCCGTCTTTAAAAAAAAAAAAAATCCTCAAAAGAAAGAGGTATAGTCTCTGAAGTATGAGAGATGAAGGGTGGATGTCAAGAAGGGCTTTCTAGCAGAGACGAAATGTTGAAAAGAAGCCTGTAGCTAGCAGAATTTTGAGCATGGACTGCAGCAGGAAAGAGCACAGGCTGGACTTCCAGCCGGTCTGCTGTAAGAGACCCAGGACGGGGCAAATGAACAGAGCAGAAGGCGTTACTCCCTTGCTCTGGCTTGAGGACAGCAGGGATGTCTGGGTCCGACTGCTCCAAGCTGGCCAGCTCTGCGCAGGTGGCTCCGGGCTGGGAGGCCCTGACATGCCTGGGGAATTTTATAGGCTCGGCTCAAGGCAGCCCTGGCTGGTGAGAGCCAGGGGCACTGGCAGGGCGGCTGACTGGTTTATGGGCCATGGCTAGAACAGCGCCCGAGTGCCCCACCTGTCTCTGCCCACCGCAGGCTTCCAGGACGTGCATGCCATGGTCTTCGTGGGCTTTGGCTTCCTCATGGTCTTCCTGCAGCGTTACGGCTTCAGCAGCGTGGGCTTCACCTTCCTCCTGGCCGCCTTTGCCCTGCAGTGGTCCACACTGGTCCAGGGCTTCCTCCACTCCTTTGACAGCGGCCACATCCATGTTGGCATGGAGAGGTGGGCAGCAGCCACCTACCCATCTCCCCTAGGCCCACTCAGGAGGCTCCTGCCCAAGGGCCCCAGCTCAAGCCCTGACCTTCAAGCCTGCTTCCTGACTCACGATTTTGGCTGTCACTTGGTTTAGTTAGGTGTCCTGCCTGTCCTTATTGCCTGATTTCCTCTCTCATCCTTGACCCTCACACTCAGCCCCACCTCCTCATTCTTTAGGGCCCCTGTTCCCCAAGAGCTTCAAGGAGGGTAGACAGCTCTGGTTCTTCCACCTATTGTGGACTTTGTCAGCCGAGTCACTGAACCTCCTTGAGACTCCATTTCTTTTTTTTTTTTTTTTTTTTTTTTTGAGACGGAGTTTCGCTCTTGTTACCCAGGCTGGAGTGCAATGGCGCGATCTCGGCTCACCGCAACCTCCGCCTCCTGGGTTCAGGCAATTCTCCTGCCTCAGCCTCCTGAGTAGCTGGGACTACAGGCACGTACCACCACGCCCAGCTAACTTTTTTTTGTATTTTTAGTAGAGACGGGGTTTCAGCTCGTTGACCAGGATGGTCTCGATCTCTCGACCTCGTGATCCACCCGCCTCGGCCTCCCAAAGTGCTGGGATTACAGGCTTGAGCCACCGCGCCCGGCGCAAGACTCCATTTCTTATCTACAAATAGGGCCAGGTGATCCCTTCCAACTCCAGTGGGGGCTTGAGCTCCTCGTCTTCTCTGCAGAACTCCGCCCCCACCCCATCCACCGTGTCATGCTGTCCTGGCTTCATGCCTGGCAGAACAGAGGTCAGCCTCCCTGACGCCTCTCGCTCCCCCTTCTGCCCCCAACCCCAGCATGATCAACGCTGACTTTTGTGCGGGGGCCGTGCTCATATCCTTTGGTGCTGTCCTGGGCAAGACCGGGCCTGCACAGCTGCTGCTCATGGCCCTCCTGGAGGTGGCGCTGTTCGGCATCAATGAGTTTGTGCTCCTTAATCTCCTGCGGGTAAGAGTCTGGGGAGGGGTGGGGGGTGGTCAAGGTCAGCCTCTGAGCCAGGAGCACGGGGGCGGCAGGGGCGGGAATGGGGCAGGGGCCTGCCTCTCCACCTCCCTGCACCTCCCCAGGTGAGAGACGCGGGAGGCTCCATGACTATCCACACGTTTGGCGCCTACTTCGGGCTGGTCCTTTCACGGGTTCTGTACAGGCCCCAGCTGGAGAAGAGCAGGCACCGCCAGGGCTCCGTCTACCATTCAGACCTCTTCGCCATGATTGGTGAGGCCTGCAGACGGGTGGTAGCATGGGTGGTAGCATGGGGAGGGGGCTGGTCTGGCTGCCTCTGACCTGGGCCAGAGGTGACTGTCTCCTGGGTGCTGCCCGCGGTCCTGGGGTTGTGCCTGGGCACTCCCTTTCCATTTGGATTCTGCTGTGAGAGCTCTGGGATCTGCGCTCATCATTCTCAAGGGTTTTATGACATCTTAAACTTCAGCCCTGGGGAATGCACATGCCCTGGGTCCCTTCCTGGGGCCTTTATAAATCCACCTCAATCCCTGCTTAAAACCTTCCAGGGCCCCCATCAGCCACAGGTTAGAAAACAGCCTCCTTGCCAGGCGCGGTGGCTCACGCCTGTAATCCCAGCACTTTGGGAGGCCAAGACGGGTGGATCACGAGGTCAAGAGATCGAGACCATCCTGGTCAACATGGTGAAATCCCGTCTCTACTAAAAATACAAAAATTGGCTGGGCATGGTGACGCATGCCTGTAGTCCCAGCTACTTGGGAGGCTGAGGCAGGAGAATTGCTTGAACCCAGGAGACGGAGGTTGTGGTGAGCCGAGATCACGCCATTGCACTCCAGCCTGGGTAACAAGAGCAAAACTCCGTCTCAAAAAAAAAAAAAAAAAAAAAAAAACCCCAGAAAACAGCCTCCTCAACTTCCACGTCAGCCCCTCCTCCACCCTCCTCGCTGGCTCAGGCTCCAGCCTTTTGCCTGCCCTCGCCTACAGGCCTCTGCGTGTCTGGCTCCCCCAGCAAATAGGCAATCTCTGCCTGCCCCTAGTGCTGCCTTCCACCTCCTAAGGATATTTTCTCCCAGGAGATTCCCTGGAAGCCCCTGCACGCTCAGGCAGGGGTAACGAGAGGAAGGGTCCTGGGTCACCACAGGGACTAACAGGGCCTGAGCTAGGAGCCCTGTCACCACCACCTGCTGCTGCTGCTTGTTTTTGTTGAGACAGTCTTGCTCTGTTGCCCACGCTGGAGTGCAGTGGCGCAATCTTGGCTCACCACAACCTCCACCTCCTGGGTTCATTCTCCTGCCTCAACCTCCTGAGAAGCTGGGATTACAGGTGTGTGCCACTACACCTGGCTAATTTTTTATATTTTTGGTAGAGATAGGGTTTCACCATGTTGGCCAGGCTGCTCTTGAACTGCTGACCTCAGGTGATCCACTCGCCTCGGCCTCCCAAAGTGCTGGGATTACAGGCGTTAAGCCGCTGTGCCTGAACACCGCCACCTGCTTCTAAGCATGTGCCTCCACCTCAGCTTCTGTTCCTCTATTTTCATAACTGCTGACAGAGGCAAATCCAGATTTTATTTTACTTTGTAGAAGGTATCGAATGGGGACTGAAGTGCCTATCGATATATGAAAGAGAGAGGCTGGCTTAGGATTGCTCAGCACTGCTGGGTCAGAGCACAGGGAACCCCAGGGCAGCTGAGCTCTCCTTGCCCTTTGAGACCCAGGTAAGTTTGCCTTGAAGTCCAAAGGCTTCCCCAGGTTTCCAGGCATTCCCAGAAGACTTGCATTCTCAGCTGTCTCCCAGCTCCTGGATTTTAGTGTCACCCAGACAGGAATGAAGCCCCTTCCTGGATTCTCCCACAAATGCTCCACCTACGGGATGCAAATGTGGGTGTGGGAGATTTCACTCAAGATGCTGCTGGGAGAAGCCACACCCAACAGACTACTCAGGACTAAGGGTGGTCCCTCAGTCTCCCGCCGTGCTGGTTTACGTCACAGGGTCCCCAGCCCTCTCCCTCACCTTGTCCTTTGGCTCCTCTCTCTTCCTCCAGGATGGACCTGGGAATTTCACACACAAAGGCAGGGTAAATGGGCTCCCAGTTCTTACTCAAAATGCACAGGCGCAGCCCATTCAGTACTCAGCAAACTGAGGCCTCTCCTGAACACTGCAGGGTCCGCCCTCTCCGGGAGAGATTGAGGTTGTCATTGTCTTTGTGATATGTGTATCAAGTACCCAGCATAGTACCCGACATAGTGGCCTCTGCCTTTTTCCTTTCCGTATCTGATACTTAAAAAAATGTCAATGTTCCAGCCGGATGCGGTAGTTCACACCTACAATCCCAGCACTTTGGGAGGCTGAGGTGGGTGGATCACCTGAGGTCAGGAGTTCGAGACCAGCCTAGCCAACATGGTGAAACCTCATCTTTACTAAAAATACAAAAATTAGCTAGGTGTGGTGGTGGGCACCTGAAGTCCTAGCTACTGGGAAGGCTGAGGCAGGAGAATCGCTTGAACCCGCTAGGTGGAGGCTGCAGTGAGCCGAGATTGAGCCGCTGCACTCCGGCCTGGGTGGTAGAGTGAGACTTTGTCTTAAAAAAAAAAAAAAATTCAATGTTCCGTGGTTTTCAACCAATTAGTTTCTTTTTGTGCTGGTGCCCTTCAAGAGCTGCCATTTGCTGGGCGTTTTGTGCCTGCTAGGCCACGGGCTATGCATTTATGTGCATTGCCTCATTTAATTGCCGCTTGATAAGGTGGTGGCATTATCGTTATTATTATTATTTTCGAGATAGGGTCTGGCTCTGCAGCCCAGGCTGGAGTGCAGTGGCACCATCTCAGCTCACTGCAACCTCCACATCCCAGACTCAAGCAATCCTCCTGCCTCAGCCCAGCCATGTGCTACCATGCCTGGGTAATTTTTTTTTTGTATTTTTGGTAGAGATGAGGCTTCACTATGTTGTCCAGGGTGGTCTCAAACTCCTGAGATCAAGCTATCTGCTGGCCTCAGGTTCCCAAAGTGCTGGGATTACAAGCGTGCGCCACTGTGCTCGGCCTAAGGTGGTGTTACTATCAATCCCACTTAACAGATGAGGAGACTGAGGCTGCTGAGAGTAAGCAACTTACCTGCAGTCATACAATTTGTCCCTTGAGTGGGAGCCACTTCCTTCCTCTCACTCCGCCTGCCTGCCCACCATCTAGGGACCATCTTCCTGTGGATCTTCTGGCCCAGTTTCAACTCTGCGCTCACAGCGCTGGGGGCTGGGCAGCATCGGACAGCCCTCAACACATACTACTCCCTGGCTGCCAGCACCCTCGGCACCTTTGCCTTGTCAGCCCTTGTCGGGGAAGATGGGCGGCTTGACATGGTATGGGGAAGAAGGCTTCAGAGAGGCAGAGGGGGTGGCCTGGGGGGAAAGGAGAGGTCTGAGACCCTCAAGAAAGAGTCTCCAGGGGAATAGATAAGGGCACAGGCATAGGGGCTCCATCTGAGCTGGTGGCTGTGGGGTCAGAATGGGAGATGATATGATAGCGGGAGAGTTAGAGGTTAGATGGCAGAGGGACTTCCAGAAGCAGTAGGTGTCACTGTGGTGGATAGGGCTGGGTTGCTGTGGGTGTGACAGTCTGAAAGGGCCTTTGACACCTTATCCCTTAGGTCCACATCCAAAATGCAGCGCTGGCCGGAGGGGTTGTGGTAGGGACCTCGAGTGAAATGATGCTGACACCCTTTGGGGCTCTGGCAGCCGGCTTCTTGGCTGGGACCGTCTCCACGCTGGGGTACAAGTTCTTCACGGTATAGATGCCCCTCGGGCCCCGGGTAGAAGATGCCGAGTCTTTGTGCCTTTCCTCCCACCTCTGCAACAGGCTGGGGCAGGTGGGGAGTGGCACAGGAGACTCATGATCTGTCCTGTCCTCCAGCCCATCCTTGAATTGAAATTCAAAGTCCAAGACACATGTGGAGTCCACAACCTCCATGGGATGCCGGGGGTCCTGGGGGCCCTCCTGGGGGTCCTTGTGGCTGGGCTTGCCACCCATGAAGCTTACGGAGACGGGTGAGTCTCCTCCCAACCCACGCTGCAGTCGTCATCCCTCTGGAATGGCCTCTGTCATTCTCTTTCTCTGTGTGTGACCCAGAAAAGGGAATCAATTCATTCATTTATCCATATTCTGGGAGCAAAGGAAATTGGAGTGAACCAAACCAAACCAGAAACTGCCCTCCTGGTCCTCAATCAGGGGCAGCAGGTCATGGAACAAATGACTTCAAGAGTGTTATGTGTTACTGAAGGGTCAGTAAGAGATAATGACCCTTAGGATCTATTTCTGCACATCAAGTGTGGGCAAAAGCAACCTGCAAACGGAGTCTTGAAAGGTGCCTAGGTGTCTGCTGGCCTGTGAGGGTTGAGGGGAGCTCCAGGCTGTGGGCCTGGCTTGAGCAATGGCCTGGAGGTGAGAGTTAGCCTGGCGCCCACCCTCAAGACCCTCTTGGCCACTTCCTGTCCCCTGGTGCGAGTTCCAGAGAAATGGGCAGCTCCGGCCCTGTGCTGCGTCCCTGTCTCTCCTACCCCCGCCCGGGCTTTCCACCATCTGGTCTCTCTGCAGCCTGGAGAGTGTGTTTCCACTCATAGCCGAGGGCCAGCGCAGTGCCACGTCACAGGCCGTGCACCAGCTCTTCGGGCTGTTTGTCACACTGCTGTTTGCCTCTGTGGGCGGGGCCCTTGGAGGTGAGTAACCTTGGATTTTCCAGAGGAAGGGGCATGGGGTCCTACACCCCTGACATGGATTCATTCACTCACAGATATTTATGGAGCATCTACTTTGTGCCATAAAGTAGGGTTTGGGTTGTGGGTTCAGGGGTAACCTCCTGCAGGCACGGAGTTGCACGCGGGTGCTTGCTCCCTTCTGGTGCCAAGGGCAGCAGAGGAGCCGGCAGGAGGCGAGCGGGACCCTCTCTCGCCGGCCTGTGCTTGCCTGTGCTGCTCCCTCTGTCCACTAGGGGGAAGCCCGACCTCAGGCTGAGGCCTGGAAGGGGCCGGCTGCGCCCTTTGGGGCAGGGACTGGGAGGCGAGGAGACGGCCTGCCAGCTCCAGAACCCAGCGCGAAAACCTTCCACAGAGGAAGCTGCCCACGGCTCGTGTCAGGCAGCCGCTCTTCATGTGTGGCCTTAGTCTTTTTGGCTTTCAAAATAAAACCTGATTCCGCATCCCCCACTTCTGCTCTTACCTGGAGACCCACCCTTCTCCCCTCCCCTCTGTCTCTTCCTCCCTCCCTCCCTCCCTCCCTCTCTCCTTCCCTTCATTTATTTTTTTGAGATGGAGCCTTGGTCTGTCTTCCTTCCTCCTCTTTCATTTTATTTTTTATTTTTTTTTATTTTTTCGAGGTGGAGCCTTGGAACTGTGGTCTGTCGCCCAGGCTGGAGTGCAGTGACACAATCTCAGCTCACTGCAACCTCTGCCTCCTGGCTTCAGGTGATTCTCCTGCCTCAGCCTCCCTGGTAGCTGGGATTACAGGTGTGCACCACCACACCCAGCTAATTTTTTGTAGCAGAGATGGGGTTTCATCATGGCCAGGCTGGCCTCAAACTCCTGACCTCAGGTGATCCACCCGCCTTGGCCTCCCAAAGTGTTGGGATTACAGGTGTGAGCCATTGTGCCTGACCACCTAGAGACTTTCATTCTCTAATATGGTTTAATTCATTCATTCATTTAATAACTTATTTATGCTATAAGCATTTTTTTGAGGCAGAGTCTCACTCTGTCACCCAGGCTGGAGTGCAGTGGCACAAGGTCAGCTCACTGCAACCTCTGTCTTCCAGGCTCAATTGATTCTCCTGTCTCAACCTCCCAAGTAGCTGCATGCCACCACACCTGGATAATTTTTGTATTTTTAGTAGAGATGGGCTTGCTGTCACCATATTGGCCAGGCTGGTCTTGAACTCCTGACCTGAAGTGATCTGCCTGCCTCAACCTCCTAAAGTGCTAGTGATTACAGCCCTGAGCCACAGCACCTGGCTGCAATGAGCATTTTCTGTGCCTCTCTTGTGTGGGAGGCCACAGAAAGCTCAGCAGCTGTGGTTCATGATGGAATCAAGAGCTGGTCTATTACCAAATGCACACACTTGAGCAAATTATTTACTTCTCTGAGTCTTGTTTCTTTGTACTACAGGGATAATACTGGCCTTGCAGGGTTGCTGTGTGACTCAGGAAAGCAAGACTGGTCAAGTACTTTGCACAGGGCCTGGCACATAGTAGATGCTCAACAAATACAGCTGTGTTTTTGTCTGCACAGGCATCATGTTGCTCTCATGCCTCCCAGACCCCTGAGTCCTGTGGCAGTGGGTGGCACCCTCCTCCATGGTAGGGGGCAGAGAAGCCTCACAGATCCTCCCCTACCACCACCAGGGCTCCTGCTGAAGCTACCCTTCCTGGACTCCCCCCCAGACTCCCAGTGCTACGAGGACCAGGTTCACTGGGAGGTGAGACACAGATGGGCCCTCACACCCTCTGAGCCTCCCTTCCCTGCCTCGACGCCGTCTTCCTTCCTGGCTGCTCCTGTAGCTCCTGGAGCTACCCTTTCACCTCCACCCACTCCTTCCTTCCAGGTGCCTGGTGAGCATGAGGATAAAGTCCAGAGACCTCTGAGGATGGAGGAAGCAGACACTCAGGCCTGACCCGCTGCTGGCCCCTGAGAGGACACGCTCCTTTTAGAAGATGCTGATTGGCTGCTCTTAGGAGTTCCTTTTGGCCGGGCGCGGTGGCTCAAGCCTGTAATCCCAGCACTTTGGGAGGCTGAGGCGGGTGGATCACGAGGTCAAGAGGTCGAGACCATCCTGGTCAACGTGGTGAAACCCCGTCTCTACTAAAAATACAAAAAACTAGCTGGGTGTGGTGGCGCGTGTCTGTAATCCCAGCTACTCAGGAGGCTGAGGCGGGAGAATTGCCTGAACCCGGGAGGCGGAGGTTGCGGTGAGCCGAGATCGCGCCATTGCACTCCGGCCTGGGTAACAAGAGCGAAACTCCGTCTCAAAAAAAAAAAAAAAAAGAGTTCCTTTTGCACTCCCATTCCTCCACCTGCAAGAAAGGAGCCATGAGCTGAAAGGAGGCCCCTTTCCATAGGCAGCATCTCGAGGGAGAGGGGTAGCAGGCTGGGAGACGGTGGGCAGTGGGGCCGTAACTGGGTACGGTAGGGGGAACCTCACCAGCTGCCTGACCCGACTGCTTTACTAGCCTGCACGTGGGTAGAAGGGGCCAAAGTGAGGCACCCAAGTGGCCCACTGGCCCCACATCACACAGTTAGCGAAGCCTGAGCTGGGCCTGGCTGAGGGTGATAAACGCCGCCGTATCTAAGGGTTCTGACTCCTTGCCTTTGTGCCCTGGGAACATGGGAAGTTCCTCCTACCTTCTAACTCACGATGGAAGGACTTCCTGGAGGTTCCTGGTGAGGCAGGATGATTCCTGATCTTTGGACTCCCTCTAGAGTGCCATGTCCTACCAGGCGAGTGGCCCCCCGAGGCACAGGGAGCTCATTCTCTCCCAGAAAACAGGGTGTTTTGTTACAGGTTGGCTTGGGCTGTGGGAGAGAGTTCTTCCTCTTCCAGAACTGCTGCTTCTCTGACTTTCACCTTGGGCAGCCTCTGCGCAGAGGAGGAGGAGGGTGCCCACAGGGCCCAAGGGAGACATAAGTTGTTTGCCACCAACCCTAAGAAGCTAGAAGCAGCAAGCACCTAGGTGCCACTTATATCCCAGTCCTTAGACTGAGGAGTGGGGGAATTGCAAGGGCATCACTTTAGGGCCTGTGATTAGGGCTGTGGCAGAGAAGGATGAAGACGCTCGCTGACCCCTATCCAAGGGCTTCTGTTGTCCTGAAGTCATTTGACCACCAGAGGGCGCTCCAAACCCAGCAGAGGAAGATGCCGCCTTTCTGCCCCTCCTTGGTCCTCTATGAAGAATGAAAGTCCTTCCTACAGCCTAACCCTCTTCCTGTCTGCTTCAGCTCTGGTCCTCGTGCATTCATGCCACAAGGCTTTTTTGAGTTCCTATACCCCACTACATGTCAGGCAGATGCCAGGAGTTTCAGATCTCTCATCCAGCAGAAATCCATCCCTCCAAGTAGACTGGAGCCCCCTTTCTAACACTGAAGGACTGGAGCCCCCTCTGCCTTCTGCTCTTCCCCTAGGCTTCTGACTACAGCGATTTCTCCCCTAAAACCAAGACCAGAGCCAGGCTCAGTGGCTCACGCCTGTAATCCAAGCACTTTGGGAAGCTGAGGCAGGCGGATCACAAGGTCAGGAGTTTGAGACCAGCCTGACCAACATGGTGAAACCCTGTCTCTACTAAAAATACAAAAAATTAGCTGGGCATGGTGGCGCGTGCCTGTAATCCCAGCTACTCAGGAGGCTGAGGCAGGAGAATTGCCTGAACCCAGGAGGCGGAGGTTGCGGTGAGCCGAGATCGCGCCATTGCACTCCAGCCTGGGTAACAAAAGTGAAACTCCGTCTCAAAAAAAAAAAAAAAAAAAAAAAAAAAAAATTAGCCAGGCATGGTGGTGCATGCCTGTAATCCCAGCTACTCAGGAAGCTGAGGCAGGAAAATCACTTGAACCCAGGAGGTAGAGGTTACAGTGAGCTGAGATTGTGCCACTGCACTCCAGTCTGGGTGACAGAGTGAGACTGTGTCTCAAAAAAAGCAAACAAAACAAACAACAACAACAACAACAAAAATAAGACCAATCAGACCTAGGAACCCAAGGAGGAAGCAGAGGGATTCTTGGGACCTAGGCCTGGAATTAGGACAAAAGGTGACCCCATTAGACTCCATGCCCCCCCATAGCTGGAGGGACTGAGCGGGCTGGCTGGAGAGGCCAAGCACAGAGGTGAGGAGAAGGAGGTTGAGGGACAAGGCTTCCGTGGCGCCATCCCCGCTCATGTGACCCAGTTTTGCCTCTGCCCCTTCAGCCCCCCTCCTTCCTTCACCACTCCCCGTGTCCACTGTTGGCTGGGGTAGGTGTATTGGGAGGAGTCCCTTGTGTAGAGGCAGAAGGATGACAGCTGGGATCACAAAAAGGTTCCTAAGTCACTGTCAGCCCTTGCTAGGAGGAAGGGAGGGAGTTTGGGAGAGCTGAGGCCCCACCTCCCATTCTACCTCTAGGGCCTCAGTTCCCAGCTCTGCTCTGCATGGGCCCAGATACAGCCAGCTGGCCTGTTCTCCCCCAGAGACCCCAGAGATCTGAAAGAAGACCTTCAGGAAAGGGGGATTCAAGGATAGGATGAGACCCCTGCCTGCCCCAGCCCATTTTGAGTGAGGAAAGCTACAAATCTTCATTTATTCATGGCACCAGCTGGGTGAGGTGGCTCACACCTGTAATCCCAGCACTTTGGGAGGCTGAGGCAGGAGGATTGCTTGAGCCCAGGAGTTTGAGACCATCCTGGGTAACACAGTGGGGCCCCATCCCTACAAAAAATAGCTAGGTGTGGCGGCATGCATCTGTAGTCCCCACTAATTGGGAGGCTAAGGCAGAAGGATTGCTTGAACCTGGCAGTTCATTACACTGAGCCACGATCGCTCTGCTGTGCTCCAGCCTAGGTGAGAGAGACCCTAGTTCAAAAAACAAACAAAATTCATAGCACCAACATTTTACAACCTGACCCTTTCCCTCTGCTGGCTGATGCTTTCCAGACTGCAACCAAGCCTGAAAAAATGGGCAGCTGTAGCCCAGGCTGGTCACGGCTGGGGGAAAGTGGCCCATCTCAATCCAGGGAGTCTTCCTGGAATAGGGACGACTGATCCCTCTCTAGAAGGCAGTTGCCCAGACAGGTTCTATCAGACAAAAGGGTGTAGGTCTCATCATAGCCTGCCATGTCATGAGAAAGGGGCAGGGAGAGCGCTAACCCGTCAGAGGGCCCTGTGTGTCCCGGAGACAGTTCCAAGCTCTATCCGGTCTGTTGAAGCCTTCCCTGGCCCAAGTAATGATGCTAAGCCCTGCCTCTGGCCGCTGCACCCCATCCCATTCTCATTCAGGGGGCTGCCTGCCCAGGCCAGGACTGAACTTTCTGAAACTAGGCTCTTGGTTTTTCACTCTGCATTTCCTCCTGTCCCTCCCCCTACTTTACGTTGAACGCTGGACTCACCCCAGACCTTCCAGCCCTGGTTCCACTTCCTAGGGCTGAGCCATTCTTTGTGGCCTGGGTGTGGGTGACCATCCCGCCACTGATTTCGGTCAGGGAGCACAGAGGGCAGGAAAGACAGGTACCTTTAGCGCCCCTGCTTGAAGGCCAGCAAGCCCTTCCCTCCTCTCCCCTGGAGCCCCTGCCTCAGCGGCATCGTCTCCCACACGGTGGCCCATCTATTCAGGCTGGGTCAACGAGCAGGTCAAGGAGATGCCGGGGACAGGGGCCAAGGGGGCTCCTTCCTCACCCCTTCAGGACAATGAGGCCTCTGCCCCTCAGGGACAGCCCCTCTGATCAGCACCATTATTCCTCTCAGAGCGGGACAATCGGACACTTGCCCGCTCATGAACTCTGTCTGTCCAACCCCAGTGCCTGATCTCTGCGGACAGTGATGGACGAGGACACGGCCCCTGCCTGCCTCCCGGAGAAGGCTGATGCGGGGGGACAGGCCGCGCTGGGGTCAGGGTGGAAGCCCGCGGGGCCAGCGGCATTGAGGGAAGGTTCTCCGAAGCCGCTGCTGCTCTGGCCCGGCACAAGTGTGTGTATGGACCACAGCAGGATTTCCCACCCAGGGACATCAGGATAGGAGGCCCAAGGTCCCCAGGAGCCCCCAGGTGCTTCTGCCTTGTGCGGCCAGAGCCCCTCGGCCAGGAGCTGGAAGCTGCTCCTCTGACCTCCAGAGGACCCGGCACTCCGAACCCCGCGCAGCCTGGGAAAGGCCTGAGATTCCCCCCTATTGGGATTCACATCACGGCGCGGCGGCCCCAACTCGGGGAGGAATTAGATACGGCGTGGGTGTCCCAAGTGCGGGGCGGTGGCCATCCCGGGGCAGACCAGCTCGGCAGCCCGGTCCCCCCACCTCACCCCGATATTCCGCTCCCACCGTCAGGATCTCCCCCACCGCCGCCTCCGGCCCCGCGCGCCCCTTCTCCTTTGTCTGGCCCGCCCGCTCCCAGCCGGTCCGCCGCGCCGCCCCGCGCGCCCCGGCCCGTGCGCCCGCCGCCACCGCCCGGGAACAATGCGGGCCAATGTCTCCGGGCGGGCGAGCTGGCTATGCAAATGCCCAACGGCCTGTGAGAATCCCCTTCGCCGCCGCCCGGGCTTCCACGGCCTGAAAAGGGCTGGCGGCCGGGCCTGGGTGGGGGAGGCGGCCACTGCATAGGGATGAGCTGTCGTCCCGGGAGCGCTCGGGACAGAGCGCCATTGTTTGTGCCGCCGGCGTCTGATCACCAGTGGAGTCCGCCAGCCCGGGAGGAAGGCGGAGGGTGGCCCGAACCAGGCCTTGGGGCCGCAAAGAGGTGGTCATCTGTCCCCCGCCCATCCCATACCTACTGTCTTCCCCAAAAAGCCTTGACTTTGGGACCTGGCCATGGTGGTCCCTCTCTTGGCTACCCCGTCACTACTTGGGAGCCTGCACACGTCTGAGCCTGTGTCTTTTGGAGTTTAAAGCTGGCTGTGGTTGGTACTCTTCTCATCAGGGAGAAGACGTCACTCCCTTTTGGCCCCCTCTCCCCAAACTCCATCCATTTTTACACATCATATTGACCCAAAAGACTTTGACAGGTGTCTCTGAGGCCAGTTCTTTCCAGAGCCCTGAAATACTTGGCGGTGTTCCCAAAGC